GAGTCAACAGTGGCATGATGACTGGAAATGCTATTATCATTCAGCTCCTACTAATGCCATTCAGACAGTCTGGATCTTTACCTCCTGACACTGTCACCCATTTTTCCCCAACCCAAGAAACATATTGTGATACAGTTTTGATTTGCTGCCTGGGAAAACAAATATGCTAATATTGGTTTTGTTCATTTGGATGCAATTGTGTGTGTCAGTTAGTGTTTTTTCCAGCGGCATTTCAGAATTCATAAACACCTGATGTGGCATGTAACCCCTGAAATCTTAAACACCGGGCTTGATTATTGCCGTGAAAACAAATGCAGCGTTCCCTCGTCTCGCTAACCAGGGATTATCCTTGTCCATGTGTAATTTTTGGCAATTTATTCTCTTTTTTCCCCCTGTACTTACTTAAAAACAATGTTTTATTTTTTTGTCTTGTGTTGATGCATGGTGCCTTATTACCTGTAAATCCCTGCTGGTTTTTCAGACATGAGGCACAATTCAGAGTGAACATTTCAACAGATTTTTAGCTGTGGGATTGCTCTTCAAATCAGAGACGCATACACAGAATCTGTATGTTTCACAAGAATTGAATGAGGGATTCCCCTTGGAGGGATTTACATGCTTTCGAAGCTGCAGTGTGTTTACTCAAGATTCTCGTTTTTTTGTATTGCCCTGTCTTAATGCCCTCAGGTAGCATAGCTCATTTCGTTGCATTGACTTATTCCAGACATTTACACCGTTAAGAGTATGGATGCAAATTTACAAAACAGAAATCATATCTACTGCAAGTGTTTGTATTGTTGTATAATATGGGTTATGCAGATAAAAGATGTCCTCTAATTATGTTCTCCAAATTACATTTTAATCAGGCTGCATTATCATTCAGGTTTGTGGCTGAAGCAAACAAAGGGAAAATACACATAATTTGTATAAATAGCATTTATTATTGCATGATATTGTAATTCAGTCCCTCTAGAAGGATATGCCTTCATGCAGGGTTTGTGTGGTCCTCAGGTTTCTTCTGCAAAGGGAAATTAATTCAGAAGATGTTACATCCCTGCTGTCTTAGTTTAAAAGCTGCACATGAGGCTACTTACAGTATATGGTGTGTGGTGTTGTCCAATGTATTCACACGTTATTCTCTTGTCAGTCTGCCACTGACAGCTGACTGACTGCTGTCTGGAAGACGAAAATAACTTCAACATTCACCTTTTTTTGATTGGAGGAGATAGCCATTAATTGAGTAGATTATGATCTGCAGGGTGACATACACATACAGACACCAATTAGTACATCAACCCTGACAACCAGCTACACAAAATATAACTGCAATCACACGTCACTCCACTTCAGGGATTAGTTACACCTCATAGGTCCCCCTCCACACATCTAACCAAAGCTCAGCTCTGATGCATGGCCACATACACATTTAGAAGTTAAGACTGAAGGCAGTTTGAGCGGCTGCTGACGAAAATGCAGGATGAGTAGAATTAATGTAGTACTCATGTGTGTGTGTGCTTCCTCTCCTGTCCTCTCATGTTCCCCTCTCCAACTATGTCATATATAGGGACCTATTACTAATGTGGTGAAAGGGCCAGTGAGTGAACAAGTGTGTGATGATGGAGGTGGGGAAAGCTGGGAGAGGGTAAGCCATTTAGCACTGCAGTAATAATGGCTCAGGCTGCTGTAGGTGATAATGGATGTTGCGGCAATTGGTGCGGTTTGACTGTGGGTGTGCATTTAAGTGTGAGTGTGGATTTATATCATTTCAGTTTTTTTGATGCAGAGGCGTGTCTTTTATTTGGTTTCATACTCTATAAATACTTTCTGCACTCTGCTAGGAGTTCTAACACGCCTTACACCCTTTTAATAACTGCCTGTTTCTTTTTTTTCTCTTCGCAGCTCAGAACTGCAGTTACACACTACACAGTCCCAACGGGACGATAGAAAGCCCCGGCTACCCTTACGGTTATCCTAACTATGCCAACTGTACATGGGTGATCGTGGCGGCGGAGCACAACAGGATACAGCTGGTGTTTCAAGGGTTCGCCCTAGAGGAGGACTTTGACATCTTGTCTGTATATGACGGACCACCCAGCCCGGGGAACCTGCGGACAAGGTAGAGCCTTTTTTAACTGCATGCATGTGTTTACCAAACCAAATGTTTCAAATGTGTCGTCAACAATTTGACATTTGAAGGGTATGTGTAATTTGCTAGAATGTTAAAGGCAAGGCTATAGCAAATTTGAAGGATGATTCAGGATTATTATAATATTGGTCCTATTTTCATCTTGTGGAAATAATTCCCGTTGGTAGTAATGGCACTGTACCCAATAAGTTAACCCCCACCCCACTTGCAATAAAGACCATGAAGTATGTACTACATTGTTGGCCTGCCAGTCTGCATTGAAGCTCGGGAGACATATTTTTAAGGTTTCAGTTGTATACTCTGCTTCTGGATTATTTGAGCTCAGAGGGCATTCTTTTTGATAGTAATCACAAAGATCAAAAAGAAGAGAGTGCAGTCTTTTGAAACATGGTATGTCTACATATTCAGATTCAGACTTTTTGCAACACTAGCAGTCCATGACAGTTCTACATGGTGCCTACAGGCTGAGGCAGAACAGAGATCTGGGAACGCTGTGATCTTACCAGTAAAAGGCCAAGAAAAGTGAGGATTCAGACAGTCAGACAGGTTTCAAACAAACCCCCCACAATAGCAGAACTTTTATGGAAGAGAGAATGAAAACATTGTTTTCAAGATGTCTGTTGCAAACATCCATCACACGACTTTACAGATAAACATCCTGATTTAACTGTAACCCATACTTAGAGAAGCTGAGCATGAACACAATCTAGGCTTATTAGTGACATTTTAGGCTCAATTTTGTTTTTATCTCCATATAAAGTGATTGCTAATCTGACTAAACTCTTACTCACAACCTCCCTACCATCAGATTTTGGTATAGTTAGGTCACTGTTTTCCCAAATGTCATTGATTACTGTAGGGAGCTATTGTAACCAATACAACTGATTGCCAAAACCATTCAATTAAGATCCAAGTCGTATTAAACTGAAAATGTCCCTGATAGAGTTATTTGGACTTAAAGGTTTTGATAAAGTAAACGGACTGGAGACTGGAAAAGAGGCAGTACTATAATCAAAACTGTTGTCAGTGTTGCATTCAGAGGCGGTTGAAGCAGATCCTTTGGCGATTAATAGAAGACCGACTCCGCTGACACTTTGACAGCACCCAAAGTTATTCACCGACTCTGGGTACATGTTGTGCGTCAGAGCTACTAGCAAAATGAAATGAAGCTCTCTTGGGTGTGAAGGCTCATACAGACAATTTCTGAATCAACAGTGTCATCCTCAACAGTTGATTCACCAGCCTCAGAAAGGGCTGCACTGTGCTAACATTGCGTACTAAAAATACGCTCTCTGGTTTTGCAGTTTCCTGCTCACTAAGTTCAAACATTTTCATCCGTTTTCAAATAGGTATTGTTCGGATGAATGGCCATCTAAAGAGACAGAATTCCATTTGTAATAGCTGCAAATATAAGATGCAGCCACAGAGCTGCTATTCACTGATGTATTTATGTAATTCGGGATAGTATTGCTTGCAGCATAATATCTCTCAGACCTCTCGGCAGTCCCTCACTTACAGGCTAACTTAATTAGCGGCAATTTCTGCATCTAATCAGTTGAAGCTACACCAAAGCTGCTTTTAATTCCTGTCACCTTCTGGTCTGAGCTTGTCCTTGCAAATAGTGTAAATCATGTGTTATGCGAGCCCTCCAGCGACGAGATGAGAGAAATATTCGCACGGGCTTTTGTTATTGAGACTGTTTTGAGTCTCTGACGGCCTCTCTGTTTCTCCCTGCCGTCACCTCTCTCTCGCTCTCTCACCTCTTCTCTGCCCCCTCCTCTACCTGCGCCTCTCATTCTGTGCCAGCGGTGCCTCCACTGCATCTCCCTGCAGAAAGCGAATGAAAGAGAAAAGAAAATCCATTATGGATTTGTGTTGCGCGCTGCTCTCCTCAGCCTTTCTCCTGTTTGGACCTCTGGGCTCTGTTGTATATTGATGCTCCAGTGGGACGGGGGGAGGAAGCAGGGAAGCATTCCACTCTCTCTGTCTAAGCGCTTTGAAAATAAGTGAGGGGAAAGAAAATTAATTTTAAGAAAAAGGGGGGATGTTGTAGGGAACATAGATCTCCTTTAGATTCTGCTAGTGTAGTCTTTTACCAGAGTTCCTCTCTTTTCAAAGGAGGGATTCTTTTGCATTGTCTGTGAGTGAGTTTGGAGATGCTGGGAATAGTCTGGAAGCAGCTGTCACCTGCCAACAGCAGTCTGTCAGGACATGCATGCATATTTACATTCACACCCCCATCTACACCACAGATACATTTTTAGCACATTTTTGGGATGCAAGTATGATAATTCTGCCCTCCCTTTGCTCTCATCAGCCGCTTGCGTCGAAAGTAATTTTCTTTCCATCTCTCTTGCTCCTCTTCCTCCATTTTCTCGCAACCTCCCCTCATTTCCTCCTCACCTATTTCTTTTTTCTTCTGCCTGTTCTCCATTTAGTGTCCTGCATGCTGCTTTTGCTGACTTTGATCAGCCTTTCATGTAGACCACACTATAGGTTGTAGAGCTTGGAATATTCTGTTTAATCTCAAGAAGTCATCAAAAATGAGTATTTCGCCTCTCTTCACATTCAAATGATCACCTTTGATTCCTTTTTCAAAGCAGTGACTTTTAGATTTATCTATTTATCCATTAATTTATTCCTTGCTGTCACAACAAATTGATGTTATCAGGAGAATGCTGGCTTACAAATCAGTATATATATATATATATACACGTGTGAGCTTTAGCTCCACAGTAAATGTATATGCATGTGTGTGTTTGTGAGGGTGTGTGCTCCTTCAGCAGTTGCTTTATGAGTCACAGGCACTCCTCAGGAAATGCACATCTGAGTCAGTCTGTTGCTGCAGCATTTCATTAAAGATCCTGACTGACACCTGGGAAGCAGAGAGAGAATTTGACAAGTTTCAATTGTTTGAAATGGAGAAACAGGACATGTATACGCGTATACATCCATAAGTGATGTACTGTATGTCCCAAATTGCGAGGTCAAGCTGCTGCCGGTATCTGATTGCTGTTAATTAAGCGTTGCATTCCCAGGATTGTGTAGTGATGAAGCTGTTAAGTCCATCCTGCTCCCTAAGTGTTGTGACTTCACACAGGGAGCAATTGAACCACAGCGAAACTAACCTCAGGGTTAAATATATTTTGCTGACTTAAGTTGTTAGTATACACAGGTAAAAAAAATGTGCTTATCCATTTTTTTTGCAATATGACATTATGCATTTATGAAATTGCTTCATCTTAACAGCATTAGCATGTTAACATTTTTCTCTTTAGCTATTAAAATAAATGTTTTCTCATCTGTAACTGTTCAATTCAATGCAAAGATGTTGCTGATTCCTCAGCCTCTCCCCTCTCACTTTCATTATCTTTTTCACAAATGCCATGGAATTGCTCAATGTTTGTCCACTGCATGTGAATAATTCTACAACAGCATAGCGTATAAATGTGATGAAGGAGTATCCTTGAATGCTTAATTTGAATGGACCGTTTACAAAGTTGTCCAACTGCAACCCATGACAATAGTGCAACCTTACAAATATAACTTATGGAAATTGTGGCATCTTAAATACAATTTAAAACAACTCTGTAAAGTATGCATTAATTGTAGTTGCCAATTCTTGAAATCCCTGCTGTGGTCCTAACATTTTCCTCAATTGAACCTTTCAAATCCACTTCTAGCAATTTCATTTTTGGGCTGTCAAAATATTTGGTGTTCGCAATAGTTTTTTATTAAATGATGTAGTAAAAGTATTATCTGGTCGTAGTGAAATTAACTTCCTCCTCGACACCAGTAACCCTGGTGTAAACAGGGCCGGTGGTATAGTAACACAGTTGTCAAACTGACAAACCTCCCATGACTAAAGCAACAGCCAACTTGACCTAAAGCGAGACACTGAACCTCTACCAGCTCACTCACTTTCACTCTGTACAAGAGCACACACATTTCTTACTTGTAAAAAGCAATCCTTTTTTTTCTTCTTCAATTTTGTGTCACATTTCACCTTGTAACTGCCAATTGGGAAACGCTGAGTACATTTCAGCAGAGGGAAAAGCTGTTGGAGTGTGTGAAGGCATCTTTCTTCACATGCCTTCCTCTCCGTGATTGAGTGATGGAACTGAGGAACTTAATGCCTGGCAGTCTGGCAGGGAAGTGAGTGAGAGAGGGAGGGAGGAGGCGTGAAAGGGACAGATTTTCAGCCCACGGGCTCAATAGGACCTAAATAAGGACCACTAGTGCATGGTGCTGGGAGTGGCATTAACACTACAGTCAGCCGTCAGTGCTGTGAGGGTCACACTATGAGTTTGTGTGTGGAGGAGGAAGAGTGAGGCAGTGTATGTGTGTGTTCAGCTACGCTTACAAAAGGGGATCTAGACTAGTGTGCAGTCCATCCCGGCGAGCTGAATCAGTGTCAACAAAATCGAGGTTTATTGGAATACAGATAAAATGAACACCAAGCACACTCACAAGCACACAGACAAACACACGCTTTTAAGCACGGATTAAAAGGCAGTGGGCTGGAAAATTGTAATTTTTCAGACACATAAGGTTTCGGAAAAGTGTTTGCTTTTTTGGCAAGCACTGGGGAGCACAAGTGTCTGTACAGTATATGCATTGGAGAGTAAAAATCGTATTTACGTGCTTTCGTATTGCTTCTGCTTGTAGTTCAAAGTTTTGATTTGAGCTGCGTAAATAGCCTTTCCAAAAAAAAAGACCTTGAAAGCAGACTGTAAAGGAATTCTCCCAAATGTTGTGAAGATTCTCTGATTGGCCAGTTGAACCTTAAAGCAACACAAACACCAAAATGGGATTTGGATGATAGTTGATTAGACAATTGTCAGAAAGTTAGTTGAAAAAACGAGTATTGTCGAAGATATTCAAGTGAATATGTAAGACATTATCTGCATACAGCTTCTGAAATGTGAGGCTTTGCTGATTTACTCTGTTTTATATAATGCAAAATGTTT